TTAAAGGGAGGACTGAACAGAAATTTGTAAAAGGGAGGGGAGATTTAAATGGAATTTTCCGTTCAAACAATGAACTAATGGATGATTTCAATGTTAACTGTCCACATTAATGTGGAATGATTGACACTGACATAAAACTCGAAGGCACGAAGAAAAAAAAAATTGAATTATACAATGATATCACCGTTAGCACGATAAATAATGTGGCAAAAGAATCACATAAATATACTAAAATTTAGTTAAACTTAAAATTACAACATTTATTATCAAATAAAATATATTAGTACAATATTTATGACAGTTTTGCTATGGAACCATCGAATGACTCGACTTATGGAGCCATCCACAGTTATTTACAAATAGTGTATTGACACGTGTCCTACAATAAATACACTTTGGACAAGTGTCAATACACTAAGTCATGGATGGCTCCATAAAAAAACCATCCGATGGCTCCATAGAATTTTTGATATTTATGATTACACGAGTGCTAGTTAAAATAAAATATACTTTGTTTAACAATTTAAATGTATGGAAGACCCGATATATACTTGTACCACTTTAAATTAAACACGTAGAATTACGAACCACCAGAATTCGACATACAGATTACGAAACGAAATCAACAATATTCTTGATATCAATGAGGGAAATTATAAAAAACACGATATCGAATACGAAAATATAATGGGTTATAAAATTAACAAAATTTAATAAATCTAAAATAATAGTAAGTTGTCTATTGTTCAATTAATTGTGTCATCTTGACTAACTATAATGAATTTTTCATTGCTTAAGGAGATTCTCATCACATCATGATGACTTAATTTTGCAATCATATCAACAATTGTGTGACAAATAATCCATCAATTCTTTACCTATAATTAGGTACAACAAAAGATAATGAATTAAACTATTGTTATAATATTTAGTCATGTGCAATAATACACTGTTTACTAATAAGATATTTGGGCCGTTGATTAAATTAAGTCCTATATACAATTTTAATATACGATCATGTTATTGTTATTCGATTAAATTAGATAACATGGGCCAGTTGCTATATATAGCATGTGTTAGGGTTAATAATTGAGTAGGTTATCACATTACTCGTCTCTAAAATTTACTTTTAACAGTTTGTGCAGTGTATTTTGGATCGGCCCGACTTCGCGTCGACAAACGAGTCATTCGAACCGGTTAAAATTCGATTGACCCAACTCGATTGGGTCAACTCGAACTAATCCAACCATGATAATTTTTATTTTATTTTTTTAATATTTTTAATTTTAAAAGTATTTATGATGAGATATATGACTCGTTTGGATATTAGTGGATTGAACCTTATTTAAAGGTTTGACCCGTCAAAGCCGAAAACTAGCTTGTAGAGCTACATTTGATTAGTGTTTTGGCCAAATTAAGAAGCTTATTTTGAAAACCTCAATGTAGAAGCGTTGTGAGAACACATGATTTATAGAGTAACAGGTCAACCTAAAAATTTCTATAATGGCTATATATATATATATATATATATATATATATATATATATATATAAATCGTTGTTTAACAAACAACTATTTACAAATTGCTAATACAATTCACTAGTCAAATCCGTCATTCGTTATTAACTAAATAGCTAAATAATGACCCGAAGGTTAAACCAGACTAACCAGTAACCTGGGGGCTGGCCCGCATAAATTATCGGGCCGAATTTGAAAACATTGAACATGTGTTTTAAAATTTTCATGCTACTATTTATAAGTTCAATTGAAAAAAAAAATAAAAAATTACACATGTGAAGTATCAATAACTTAGCTCATTATAACACTACTAAATTCAATAGTTTTTAGATCTTAGGAACACATTTAAAAATAACCCTATAGATGGTCTCATATGCAATGTTTTAAAAACCGTACCGGTCGTCATACCGGTGTAGCGACCGGTATGCGGTATTACCGGTACGACCGGTATTACCGTCTATTTTACCAGTTTTAATAAATATTAAATTAATTTGTTATTATTATATAAATAATATACAAAACTAACTTTAATTAATACTAAAATAAATAAACATCTAATAAGAATATAAACATATTAAAGTTAAGTGTAGAAATTACAATTTATATAAATAAAATAATAAAAATTTATTAAAAATATTTTTTTTTTTAAAAAAATGGCATAAACCGGTATTTTGGCCGTTATTTGCCGGTAAAACCGGTATTTTTCGGTACGAAACCGGTATTTTGGCCAAAACGGTATTTTGAGTGTAAATGTACCGGTCGGACCACCGGTATCCGGTATTACCGGTAATACCGGCCGGTACAAACCGGTATTTAAAACATGGCTCATATGTACCTCGAGGTACGAGTGTAGTAGATTAGATCCATTATATTATATACTATATAATATCTATTTATAGAGATTATAATGTCTATTTATAATATCACACGGTCCCATTATATATATAACTTCATTTTCAAAACATTTTTTTAAAAAAAAAAAAAAAATGAAATCTTTCCAGCACATACAAGAGTCCCTCAGGCTAGCTAGGCCCTGTTAGGGCATGTTTGGGGACAATGTAATTATAGTGAGTGAGAAATCAAATGAAGATAAAAAAAAGGGCAGGTTCATGAATGTTTGAATCATCATCACCAGAAGTGCAAAACCATTTCCTTTCACTCAGACAAACATGTCCTAAAAGGTTCAAAACACTACAAGTAGAAATCTATCTAAAGATCGGAGGCATTTTAAGTGTACTTTTATCCAACAAATGCCATCAAAACAGTAGAAGATTTAGCAAAAACATGCCAGGCTGGCAAATGCAGTTCTTAAATTCGGACATCATCATCGTCACACTTCACAAAAGAACGCCGAGTGAAGTTTCGTGCTGGGGCAGCAGAGAATATTGACACAACAGCATAATTACAACATTACTTGGTCTATGCCCCTTAAATCATCAAAAAAACAAAAGATTACCTAAGGCTTTTCACAAAATAGTCATTCATTCTTGTGATGAATAAAAATTTTGGGTTTGATTGATAATCAGTCGATTGTCTTGCCTCCACCTCCACGTACGCTTCCTCCCCAAGCAATGTAACTATCCTGAGACTCAAACTCCTGCACGAGCATTCAAATTAGCCGTTTTTTTTTTTTCAAGGCCACAAAATATATATTTCTAGCCATTTTCAGATAGGGGATTGGACCATTTTCATGTTGGAAATCTAACGTCATTTTCATTTCACCATGGGGATATGACTGAAATAATGTTTATGAAAAAAAATGGCTAAAAAAGACGTATAGGCAAAGAACAAAGGTTATATTGACCCATTTGGACTAAAATAATTGCTTGCTTAATGGTTAATAGAAAATAAATATTTACCAGTTGGCTCAGGCGAAAATCAGGTGGTGTATCAAGCTCAATATTGGCAGGGTCACAAGCTAAGTCTTGGCACGCCTCCAAATCCCTCTTCAAGTCATCAGGTCCCAAACGAGCATAGTCAGAAAGAAGAGATTTTCCGTTCATCCCTTGAGCAGTATTACTTCCATTTTCGTCCCTGCATGGGGACTGACTCTGAAGAAGCTCGTCGCAAAGAGATAGGCCCTCGACAAGCTGTTGTGAGTTGAGCAGAAACTGAGACTCGTTTTCCCACCATTTCCCATCATCATCATTATCTGCCTCGTCATCGTCATTCTTATCTGCCGTTTGATTCTCCAGATTGGTCTGAGGTTGATCGTCTGATTGTTCGGAGGGAGTTCCCACCGAGTCTCGCATGAGGAGAGCCTGGTTTTGGTGCTAAAATTGCCAAAAAGAAAAAAAAGGGTAGCATGTAATTAGAGTTCTTTTTCACTTTCTTTTTTTCAACTTCTCTAGGAGAGATACTCGAATATTTGCTTTTCGGGTTAATTACAAAAGAAGAAAAGTTGAGGTTCATCCAAATTACAAGATAAACCCAAGATAAACTCAGATGTTCTAAAAATTACAGATATCCAGTTAATATTGTAAGTGCTATATATAATTTCTGAAGATAACAAGAATTTTTACGCTTTAGCTAAACGCCATTATTAGCTTCTTGCTTTTTTTACCATTTATTTTCTACATTACAGGAAATTCAAGAAAGTATTGTCCTTTACTCCTTTTAGGGGATAATTACGAAGAATATTTCAGTCTCATTACAGGAAAATACTGCTATCTTTCAAAATTATAAGCTCCCCTACATATTTTTTCTATGTTACAAATTTTATACCTTCTGCAAGGGAGTATTCGTAAGGGAAATGAAAATTTCAAGGGGATACTTGTAATACTTACAAGGACTGAACTTCAAAGGTATCGTTTATAGGAATTTGACCGAGCACCCACAATTCATCGAAACATATACCAAAAAAGATTTAAAAAAAGATTAAATTTTTACCTCTATATCAACAAGCACAGGACAATCTTGTACTTGCACCAGCTCACAATCAGCGAATCTGCTCTCTACACGTGGCTCGGGAGTTGTGAGCTTAGGAGTCACAGGATCCACCTTAGGAATCATCATCATAACTGTATCATCACACTCAATTCCTTCCGGAACAAATTCCTCGGTTTTATCAAACTGCTTAACCTGAAGCTGCTGCTGCTGGTAGAACACTTTGGACACCACAAATTCCCCTTCTTTTTCATCTTCCCCAGTGCCCAAGTGATATTGGTGCATCACCCAATTTGTCTTCTCAGCTTTCCCACCTCTCACTGGACTCACATACAAAACCATAATCTTCTTGCATCCCTTTTGCGCGCCGTCAAGTAAAACGGGCTTTGTGCGGCCTGTTTTGTGCCAGCGAACATCCCCAAGATTGTCTCCGTGTATTTTGCGGCGTTTTCGAGTCCCGGTGCTGTAAGCTTTGATTGCTCGGTGGAAAAAATGTGACACACTTCCATCTTGCCTCACACCTGTTTTTTTTTTTTTTTAAGATTTAAGGATGAGCTTTTATAATTTGATACGAGGAAAAATAACTAAGGTTCCTTCATTCTGACAGTAAAATATAAATGCGGAGGATAAATGAATGAATTGACCTGGCAAATTTTGAGGATGAGTATAGCAAATTCCATCATCTTCCCGAACTGTTGGGATGAATTCATCGATAAAAGGATGAGGCTTTAAATTATCGAGACCAACTTTAGCGAGCAAATGCCAAATGATCTCTTGGTCTGAAGGATCGAATTTCACTCCCCGTGGTAATCCAGGCCATGCATGGACAACCTAGAAGAAGAAAAGGAAAAGAGGAGGACAAGTGAGAAGAAAAAAAATGGTTAACCATTATACTAATTGCGGGACAGTTACAAGAATTTAAAAGATAATTCATGGAAATCGACCCAAATGTTGCGAAAACTCGTCATTTTATCTTGAGGGCTGATTCTACTAGTTTTAGTAACAGTAATGCTGAAGAGCAATCAGAAATTAAGACCATTGACTGTATCTCAAAGACTCGAACTTTTCTAGTGTCTTGGATGGCTTGTGCTGATTGTGAAGGTACCTATTCCCATTTCAAATGTCTATTTTATTTCTATACCTATCGGCAATCAACCCCGATCCAAATTTAGATGGCTTCACTTGAAAAAATAATAGCAATCATAATAATAAGAGAAAGATGGATCAGGGGATATGTTCCTTATTCCCACCATCAAATTCTTGAACATGAGATAATATGATTATATGAATACTAAGAGAAATTGCATTTCATTTGGAAGTATTAAGAAAGGCATCTGGCCATAAAGTAAGGGATGTTTAAATGCATTGGAAACAAATAAAATAAAATAAAACAAAAAAGGACAAAAATCATACATCACTGTTGTCAATAACATGTTGGCAATTTGGACAAGATTTCGTGGGGTTGCTTTTCCAGTTGACTTCTCCTGGGTCTAATGCAGCTGAAGCACTCCTAATTTTAGTCGCTATTCGATTTGGATCAATAAGCCATGATGGCCTGCATGTTTCCAAAAGAAATGAAGTAATGGTTACAACTTATAAATAGCCGAAAAATCAGCAGGTTCGAACTAATATAAAACAAGCCTAAAGCAAAACCCACGAGTTTTCAAAACAAACGGGTAGCTCTAACAAAAAACGAGAAATGTCAAGAAGTCGAATAGATATCAGGCACAACGATTAATAATAGAGAAGTCATAATACAGTGGCATAGCTTAAAGGGATCTTTATGCTTAAGATATTTTCAGAAAACTTCCAAAAAATCAACAATCTGATATTCAATCCACAGAGATGGTCCTCAAGTCACTTATGGTTTATTCTAATATCAAAAAATTTAATGTAGCTAAATTTGCCAATAATATATGAATCTCTATATTCCAATGACCTTGAAATGGCTGAGTATCGTCCTTTTTTCCAATCGATAAAGATTGTGCTGATACTCAACTATCTTGGAACATCCATATCAGTTCAGAGTATAATAGCAGAGAATCATCACAATTAGTTATAAATATTATATATAACATTTATTGATGAAGCCAATGACTGTTTGCAATCTTTACACGAAAACTTTAAACTATTTTTTTTTTTTTTTTTCAATTTTCACATTTTTTACAAATAGTAAAGGCAGGGCAGCAAATGACATAATTTAGTAAGCCAACTAGCCAAAAAGTTCAATACTTACCGATTTACTGTAAAATGAAGGTTTAAGATTCGCATATAATGAAATATCAAATAAACTTTTCGGCCAAGGTAACACTAACTGTAGCTATATCCTTAAAATGGACATATGATACACACTCACAGTCAACACAAAACAAATCTTTACACTTCAAACAGCTCCATTGCAAGTCAATAAACCAACTAAACTAAAACATCAAGCTGAAGTAGGAAGTTGGAAGTAACTTACTTCCCAATCAAACAATAAAGATCAAACCAAAACATAAACTAAATACCAAAAGGCCACATTCAAACTTGTCTACTTTCAAAGCCGTCACGATTTCCGGATAACATAACAGAGATCATCTACAACTACAAATAACAAAAATCTTACAGCACATCACAACAAGGGTCACTCAAAAACATTGAAAAAAATAAGCTCCATTGAAGTTCAAAACACTAAACCCTAAATGAGCTACAGTTTCAACATTATCGCATTTTCAGTTTCTTTAAAGTTGGTACATCAAGATTCGACTAGCCCTAGTAAAGGTCAAAACTTTCAATAAATACATCCAAAAAAGAATCAAACTTTTTAGCAAATAAATCATAGAACATGAAACCCATTACATGGCTCACCTTCAACTTCCATTTTTTAAAGAACAAAATAATGAGAGAAGATGAACTATCATCTATATAATCTCATATGTCAAAACCCAGAAAAAAAGAACAAAGAAAAATTGAATCTGGAAATGATGCAGCAACTGTTACAAGGATTTAAAGATGATTACCCAGACATGGTGAGGATTGAAATTGTTTAGAGGATACACACTTCGCGAGTGGAAGATTGTGTCTTTTTCGGCAGACTTTTGATTCAAATTAATGCGGACAAAACTCGAAAAAGTCTTGCCTTGATTATTGTAAAAAAGTGGGATTCCATTAATTATTTTCCACTGCTACTACTCTCTTGTTTCTGCTGTTCCCTTGAGCTTTTTCTAATTTTCATTATTTTAGTCCGAATTTAAAAGAGCATCACTGTTCTTATGATTTGACTAGGGAAACTAGTAGAAGTAGAGATGACCAGGTCGGCACTTTTAAAACTCTCGAGGGAGAGCTTTGTCGCTCTTGTGGTCCTATTCGGCTCGATTTCGGATTAGTTGGTTCCCCTGTGGATCCGAAAATCAGAAGATCCATGTACTAAAAAAAAGAGATGACCAGGTGCCGGGCCGTGGCCCGGCCCGGCTCGGCCCGCTAGGTCGGCGGGCCTCAACATTTTGACCCGTAACCGGCCCGAGAAAACATATGAGCCGGTTCATAGAACTGCCCCGGAACCGCCGGTTCACCAGCCCGGCGGGTCTCGGACGG